CTCTCTCCCCCTCCCCCGTTCCTGATCTACATATTATTTCCTCTGGGCGCGCATCTACCCTTTCCACCTTCACACACTTGTTTTTTTACTATATCTCCTGCCGTTTTCGTTCTGTGTTTGGGGTTTCTCCCTTTGATGTGGAGTATTTGTGTTCGAAGCTCATCGGGCGACCTGTCAAGATGGCGGCTCCGAGGCTCTGCTACAATTGTGACATGCCCGAGCATTTTCAGCGCGAGTGCCCCTACCCTCGGCGGAATGCTTTTCCATCGCAATCGCATCTGGTCCCGCGACAACCTGCGCTTGCTGCCCTTCCCCCATCCGACTCATCGTCTGCTCCACCCAACTCTTCCTTCCCTGCTCAAGCTCCCCTGCTCGCTCTTCCCCCGCCTCCCGCTTCTTTCAATCCAAGTTTCTCTGCCTCGGCGCAGGCTTTGGTCCCTAGGCCATCTTGGTGGAAAATGAATCAAGAGAAGCTCAACCGAGTCTACGAATTCATGGCGGCGGAGCTGGAAGCAAGACAGGAGGCCATCCGTGAGAAAGAGAGGCTACTGAAAGAAGAGGTGGAAAGGAGGAAGGTCCAAGATGCAGAAGAAAAGGCGCACAAGAAGCAGAAGGAAAGACAAGATTTCGAAGAGCGAATCAGCACGATCGTGGGTTCCAAGATTAATGACGCCTGTGAGTTGTTCCTAGGCCGGGCCGATGGGGCGAAGGCGATTTGTACGGACAACCTTCGTCGCAACAAATTAAACGAAGATGCGGAGAAGCAACGGTTGGAGCATTAGATTGACACTCTACGACTGGAGTGCGAGCGAATCAAGAAGCATATGGACGAGTTGACACGTTCGGTTGGCCAGGCTGGCTTAAGACGTACGGGAGCAAGTGTCTACATCTCTAGCCCACCGGAGGCGCCTGCTCGCGGGAGGCCACGCATGGCGCCGGTCTCTACTCCGTCCAGTCATGAGTATCAGAAGCTTCTCAAAGCCTTCAACAACATGAAGGAAGACAAGCGCATAGCAGAGTTGGAAGTACAAGCCCTTCGGGAGAGATTTGAGAAGGCAGTGAACAAGTTGATCAGACAGGGTCGCACCCCTCGGACCAATCTTGCTAAGCGTATGAATGAAGTCACCGACGAAGATGAACAAGCTCCACCAAGGCAGGCTGAAGAAGGCTTGGATGATATCACTCTGCGGCCGTCACCACCGAAAAGGACCTCCGGACGACTGGCTACGAAGGCGGCGGTTGCTGAAAGAGCTGAATTTGTGAAAGAAACCAAGAAGTATCTTAAACGGTTGAAGAAACATGGTCTGCAGATCCTCTGCGGCAAGGAGGGCATTACCTTTGTCACGTGCGAGCAAGCTATCAACGAGATCGCCGAGCTACGAGCCTCGCTTGCGTTCGACTATCGAAGACCTGTTCAGGACAACAAGGAACCACGCCCTATTCCCGATTCGGACGCAGAAGATGCCCCGGATGATGCTACTCTACCTCCGGACCTCGACGGCACACAGCAGGTTGACGTCGATGATGACGAACCTTTTTGTGACAGCTAGGGACTTTGCCCAAGCGATCGAGGGCTTTGGAGTTTGCTTAGGCACTACCTTCCATTTCGTATGGATAAACCTGGCCTGCTTAGTACTGAGATTATTTATATGTATCGTATGATGGTTGTGGGTTTAATTGTTAGAAGGCAGCTGCCATGGTGTGATAAGTTTATCAATCATCTTACTCGTCTACTTCACTCCTCTTATGATTTTTGCGTTGCTCCCGACCCTTTGGTTTACGTTTTGGTGTCTCCCTTCGTGAAGCACTGTTATGTCGGTTGCACCTCTAGGTCACTCAAGACTAGATGGAAGGAGCATGTCAATCGCCTGCTAACTCTCTGTCCTAAGGATGTACGCAACCACCGACTGTACACCTGGCTTCGGAGAATTGGATGCCATCACAATGTCGCCATTCCTCTTGCTACCGAACCTAGTGAAAATTTGTTCCTGGCGGAGAAACGACTGATTGGTTTCACCTCCCCCTACCTTAATTCCATGTGTAATGCATCCAAACGTAAAGTTCGAAAATGCAGGCCAGGTAAAAGGGAAAGGCGAAATAGGACGAGGAGGCAAATATGTTCACCTAAATTTGTGACCCCCCTCTCCCCCCTCCCCCCCCCCCCCCCCCCCCCCCCCCACCTCCTAAGAAGGATCTTACGTTCGCCTCTTTCACCTCATCTATAGGGCTTTCGTCTATTTCTCTACTGCAGATCTTTGATGAATGTCTCCACGTGCATGTGTCGTCCGTATCTATAGTTCGTCAGAGGGGATCTCTCCTTTCAAACTCATGGAAGGTAGTTAAGCGTGTTTTCGGTGCATCAATCATCTGTTGCAAGTTCGGTAGGAATCAACTCAAGCATTGCAGGTCCTGGTTTGAGAACGGAAGTGTCTTGCATGTTGCTCGCATTATCAGATTTTGCTCTCGGGTTGAGGCTCTCAAGGCGCCCGTGGCTAGACTACTCAGTCACCCGTCGGATCGTAAATTACTGTATTCCTGGACTGTTGACAATCTCTTGCTTGCATATAACACGGTCCGCTGTTTCTCCAAGAAAGAGTCAAGGCATACTCTTAGGCTTGTTATCTCAGGGGTTATCCGCCGGAAGTTTGGTTTTTGCCCTCGCAAACGGCTGATTTTTCGTATAAAATACTTTGACTGCTTGTCTAAACCCCTGGTACGTAGCTTGTGCGCGCGCCTCGTCAAAGAATCTGGTCTCCCACCATCTTTAGCGGATATGCTAGCCAGAAGGATGCGTGTGGTATGGACCAAACAACGCAGCATTGTCGAATCCGTGCATAACTTTCGTATGTTCTCTCGTCAAGAACGTGCAGTTTGCACATGTTCAGAAGTCCGGCAGAGGTTCAAAAATCTATTGTTGCCTGATGCGTTGCACCCCTCAACGTCCTCGTCTATCACTATCGGTTCCTTACTTCCCGAAATCTCCGGTCATATCATGTTCAGATCAATGGATACTGACTGGTTGCCCGCTTGGTTTAAGAACTCTCGGAATATTCCACCTCCCTCTAACCTATACACCTATAATTTTATTCGCTCCCAGATACTTGTAACTCTCAAGGGCCTCCCGCTTTCTCCGCCCCTCCCGTGCATCCCTGACTCTTTTCTCTCCCCATGCTTCACCTACAACCACCTTCATGGCCAGTCTCCTACACCTACCCTACCCTCGCTCACTGCCCTACCTTTCTCCGCCGATAGCGTCCACCTACTCAAGGAACTCCTAGACGGACTAGTTATGACGCCCGTAGATCACAATCCTGGGGACACTTTTTTCTGCTGCCCAATTCAGTACCAAGTAGGTATGGACACTCTTTTTTTGAACAACACGGGATTTCAACGCATACTGCAATCCCCGGAACATGTGCTTCAGATCTGTAGGGATGATTTTTTTGATGATGATCTTAACGGATTGGGCATATGGAACAAGAAAGGATCTTTTGGTAAGGGATATGCCCTACCTAAACACAAGAACATTCTAAAATGGAGACCCATTTGCCCTTCCGTATCCGAACCTACGGTTTCCGCCTGCAAAAAAGTGACTGACGGTTTGAATGTTCTCGTCAAAACCCTGCCAAGCTCTTTACACTTTAATCTACCGTCGACGAACAAACTGGTCCCGACACTGTCGAAAATCAACCAGAGGGTGTCCGACGATCACCATTTCATCTGTGCCAGTTACGACGTTAAGGAAATGTTTACCAAGCTGCCGCATTCTTCCCTGAGGGATGTTGTCAGGTGGTTTGTCAAGTATTTTCAGTTGCGCAGGTTCGATGGGGTATGGGTGAAACGTAGAGGCAAAGGAGCTAGGTTATCCACCGCGAAATCTATTCTCGGCTGGAAGTTCATCCCCTTTGCGATGATCGAAACCTTTGTGGCTTTTGATCTTCGACATTCCTTTGTTCTAGCTATGGGAAAGGTCCTGCAACAAACGGTGGGAGTGCCAATGGGGAAATCATCGAGTCCTGCTCTGGTTGTTATGCTATGCATGTTCAATGAAGTACACTTTCTCCATGCTCTTGGGAAGGATCGAACTCTCTTTCATGGTGTACGATTGGTCGACAATGTCTCAATTTTTGTGGAATATAGTCAGCACTCCAAATACTCTGAAGATCGTGTGAAAGCTCTTCTGAAGAAATTCCGGTGTTGCTACGACAAAAACCTGACCCTCGAAACTACTAGCAATGGCAGTTGTTGGGATTTTCTTGGTTGTCAGCTGCAAGGGTTTCTTCCTCCTCTAGGCGTCTCCTCTTTTCCTACCCATCGTAACCAGGCATCGTTATTGCAGAATGGCCACCTTACCTTCCAGGCCATCCAGGATTTCAACTCGTATTCTAGTAAACAGCAGAAGTTTGTTGTCATTAGCTCGTTCCTTCATAGGGCACGAAGCTTGGCTATGATACCTGCGGCAGAGATCCTCTTCTTACTCACTTTAAAAAGGGAACTGAGATTGTGGGGTTATCCGGATTGCTTTTTTGACAAATCACTTACAGCGTTGTCGGCTAAATTTTCAGGATGTTGGGACCATTGGATACCATGCCTAACTAACTGGGACTGCCTGTTTGACAAGCTGGCTTAACAGCCAAGGGAACTGTTTTCACACGCAGGACTTTGAGTATGGTTTCTTAGCTCTTGAGTAGGACATATAGGGTCCTAGTTCTTCAGGACCCTTTCCGGTATGTGCGGTTTCTTCCTAAGATCCTGGCAAGTGCATCTCTAGGTCCCTGTGCTGGATATTTACGAAAAAGCAACTGGGCCTTTTTCGACGGTAAACCGACTCTCAGGGCCTTGAAAGCAGCATGGGAAGATTTCACGACCTGGTTTCGACCCCGACGGTGATTTCTCGACCATTGGATGGGTTATGCGAAAGGCACTACGCTTGAAGAAAATAACACCTCACTCGGACCTGCCTGTATATATCTATAGGCGTCACGGCATTTACTTCCTCACCCTCGGCGGAATGTCAATGGCGCGTCTTTTCCATTGCCGTCGGTCGTGCTACCTTCCAAGTGCTCAGAACTTGTTCGCTCCACCATTATGTCTCGGTGCCTTTTCCTTTCTCTCTCTCTCTCTCTCTCTCTCTCTCTCTCTCTCTCTCTCTCTCTCTTCTCTCTCTCTCT